TTAAAAAAACTACATTAATTACATAAATTACACATTTACTACGCGACATTTTAAAAACTACTTGTGACATGTAGTTAATGTAGTTTATTAATTACTACGTGTAGTTTAACAACTCTGCTTTTGAGTCGTCCACCCGGCCTCCTCTTACCGTCTACAAGCTCACCGTACATCAGAGATTTTGGTATGCGGTTTCCTTGCATTCTTCATACGTGACCAGCCCATCTTAAGCGGGATTTTGTGACTCCAATACTCTCGCAGTTAGATTTTTCAAGAACCTTCTTCACAATAAAACTTCTTTTTTAATTGAAATGTTTATTAATTCTTTTTATTTATCAGGTTCAGAAAATATTTTCCCGTTAAATATTACGGTTAATTTTAAATAATTAAATTATACTGTAAAATACTACACAGACGATTTAAATAACTCTAAAAAGAATAGAAATAATACATTATTAGGTACTTTAATCCTAGAAGGTCAACTCATGCTTTTATTCTGCATTTCAAGAAGAAATAGTTAATAACAAATTCCAAGAATCTATTTGCCACTTCCCATCGTCATATCAATGAAGGTGACTGACTAATACATGAACGCGTTATAAAAATATTAGAATGAATTTTATAAAACTAATCGGAATTACTACAGTGACTAAATCTTACTATAATTTTGTATTCCTTGTTGTCATGATCTGAATAGTAGAATTAGTAAGATGTGACTCATGATTCATTGTTAATAATTGTTGTTAATCAGTTTAAAAGGAAAACAATTTAAATATTTCGGCCAATTTAAATATGACAGTTTTAATATGGATTATAGTGAATGTTCAATAAATCAGAAGTACGCATTAATAGACAAATCGAGAGTTTTATGTTTTACTGTGATTATATAGAAGAGCCAGATTCTGAAATTGCTAAACAATTAATTGCTAAACTGCTATAATCGACAAAGAATTGAGATGTTGACAATTATTAGGAGCGATGAGCAATAATTGAAATAATCTGGCTATTCTGATTTTGCTGTTTTTTTTTGGCAATACATTTAAGAAATTAAAATATACAGGGTGGTCCGAACTGTATTCCGGAAACTTCGGCAGCATATTCTGCATATAAAAATAAGTAAAAAGGTTCGTATAAATGTATGTCCTAAAATGCTCAGTTTCAGAGATACAGGGTGTAGAAGTTATATTTTTATTTCGATTTTTTTCAAATAATTTCTGAAGTAACGTCAATATTTGGATGAAAATTGTTGTCTGGGAGTTTTTTGATGTGAGAAATTTGATTTTGATGTCAATATGACACCTATTTATAGGGGGCGCCACCTACATGTGTTTTAACTGTTCCGAAGAGTAATAACTTTTTTCTTCGTACCTGTATAAAACTACTGAGTAAAAAAAATATACATATACGACGGTTTTTATGTAAAAAAGGTCTCTTGGTAAAAATCGCTACGAGTAATGGTTTTCGAGATATTTGGAATCGAAATTATCAGTACCTGTCATCGCATTGACATAAATTAAACATGTTGTTAAGTAATATAATTAGATTGAAATCATAAATTTAAAATGTTTTTGTGCCAAAAGTTCTTTATCATCATTTTTCCGCAGAAAAATTTATGATTAATTTAGAAAACTAAAAATTTCCCAAATTTATATTTCAGTCCAATGACTATCTACTCAACGTGTTTATTTTTTGTCAATAATGACATGCATTGATAAGGGTGGATACAGGAATTTATTTTAGGGGGGAGGCCGAAAGTAGAATTTGCTTTTTAGGGCGCCATTTTTAACGCAAAAGCCTAAAATTTTACCCAATTTACAGATTTTAGGGGGGGCTCGACCCCCATGGGCCCCCCTCTGTATCCGTAATGTGCCGCCGATAATACACCAGAATACGATAATACCAGATGTATTAATATCTAATAATTAAGATATTGATGTTACTTCAGAAATTATTTGGAAAAAATCGAAATAAAAATAAAACTTCTACACCCTGTATCTCCGAAACTATGCATTTTAGGACATACATTTATATGAACATTTTTACTTATTTTTATGTGCAGAATCTGCTGTCGAAGTTTCCGGAATACAGTTCGGAACACCCTATATATCAGCTGTTATCACTAGCGTCAAATCACACCAAAAATTAAATATTATTATTACTCTTTTATTGATCAAATTAGTTTTAAATAATCATGAGACTAATCAAAATGAGATTAGAAATAAATGGATTTTATCTGAAAGTTTTCTAATTTAATGATGGAATAAGTGAGCGGTTGAGTAGCAAAAAATGGAATACCACGTTCACTATTAGAAACCTGTCACTGCAAATCCGATTGAGAACACTACGTTGTTACATATGGTCCACTCTTCTTTACGGATGCGAGAAATAGACTGCTAAATTGTAATGTGGTGCTACCGGAGAATCCTTAAGATTTCTTGGACCAAACACACAAGCAACGAAGGGGTTCTTAGACAGCTAAACAAAGATCGGGAACTCTTATCCACCATCAAGGCCAAAAAGGTAAGCTACTTTGGATACATAATGCATGGCACCAAATACCGTATGATCGAAAAAAAACGGCGTCCAGTTGGCTTGGAAATGACGATCGATGACATTTCCCATATAATTTTACACATAAAATGACAGCGATCTTCATTTCATAGCCATCGTTGACGCCGTTTTTATTCGATCATACGGTATATATTCCTCATTTGATCATTCAAGGAAAAGTCGAAGGTGGGTAGGTCGAAAGAAACTGTCATGGCTGAGAAATATACGGAACTTGACCTGTCTGGGGGTGTAGAGACTGTTTCAAGCAGCAGAAGATACAGAACTCTTCAACGAAATAGTCATGGAGATCGCCAACGCCTGAAGAAGAAGACTCATATCAGCAGAGCATTAAAAACTTAATTTTATTCATATTTCGATGAAATTTAAAATTCAAGTAATCAGATCATTAAAACTCAATTTTTGTCATCTTCTGATGATATGGATAAAATGTGTTTAGTACATAATGTTGTCGATTTTCGTAATATCTTTTGTATACTTCTATACCGCGAAATGCTCAACCCAGACTTTTAGTGTGGTCTTATTTAAATAACTACATATCTAAATCCATACACCTGTAATGTGTTAGCGAGTAGTTAACTTAACAATAATGAGTAACTAACCAATCAAATCATATTTCGCATAACATTTAATTTCATTAAGCTTAGTCATTAAAATTTACATTTTCCATTATTATGCTAGAACTAAAGGAATACGGAAAATATTTTTTTAGTTTTTTACAAGGACCTAATAAATTAAATTTTACGATCGTCATGCTAAAATAAGTCCAGACAATCCATTAACGTATGGGTGGTTTTATGAAACAAATAAAAGTTTTGTTTGTTTTCTGTACACCAAAAAATATTTATTTATGAATTACACTTCATTATATAAAATATGCTATCGTCACTAAACACAACACATTCTTTGTTTTCCAGAAATAGCAGTGTTAAATATAATAACAATAATTATTGATTGACATGTATGTTAAAAACCATATACTTAATGTTTTAACTAAAATAGAATATAGAGAAATAGAACGAATAATGCTAAAAATGTTTTATTAATATAATCGATCCTTCCAATCGAAAGCTTCCAAAAAAACGGCGTCAGTGTTGGCTTGAAAATGCTGATCGCTGTCATTTTGTATTATAGTTATCCTAGATAGTTATATACGGAATGTCACACAGAGATTCTCTTTAATTCAACTGTATGGAAACCCAAATTCTATGAACCTGTGTGAAAACAAAAAAAAAATCTTCCATTTAAAAATACCTCTTTAAATGAAGTTGGCCGTTCTCACAACTACGTTTAACACTTCAAACAACCAATGAGAGTTGTTGTTCTAAATTTAAAATTTACAGCTGTTTGAGTTAGTTAAGAGCACACTTACTTATGGCGCTGAAATATGGCAGATGCGCAAGTCCATGGAAGGAAAGCTTTTAGCAACTGAAATGGACTTCCTCAGAAGATCGGCAAGAAAATCAAAATTGGAAAAAGTGCGAAATGAAGAAATAAGAAAAATAACAAAGAAAGATATAACCATCGTAGAAGAAATCCAAAAAAAAAACAATTAATCTGGTATATATGGGCATGTAAACAGAATGGGAGAAGAAAGTCTAACAAAGAATGTAATGAAATGGGCCTCAACTGGAAAACGAAAACGAGGAAGACCCCGAAAGATATGGTTAAAGGGGGTAGCAAAGGCAATGTCATTGCGCAATTTACAAACCGATGACTGGATGGCAGTCATGGCGGCAATGACAGTCAGAAGGCAATGGCGGCATGGAACCGGAAGGCGGATCACGCTGTAGAACCAGACTTATATTACCATATGATATACCTATTTGACTCTATATACTTGTTTATTGCAATTAAAATGCGTAACATAGTTTATAATATTGAGAATGTAAATATTTGAATGGAAGATAGAAGCCTTCAAAATGTTGTGTTATAGGAGAATTCTAAGGATAGCGTGGCTGGAAAAAATCAGTAATGTCAGAGTGTTGGAGATGCTGAATGCAAGTATCGTGGTTATAAGAAGCATATAGACCAGCAAACTGAAATATTTTGGATCTTATGAGACACGAGAAATACCAACTGGCTACAAAACATCATGCTAGACAAATAGAAGGGAAATGCTCAGCTGGTGTAAGAAGAATGGGAATGGTACGTACGGAGTTATAATTCCAACACGTTGCTTCGAAGAGCCATGAATAAGATACAAATATCATTGACCGTAGCCAACGTTCTTCGAGGACAAAACACACAAAGAAAAAGAACTATATGAATATAAATACTAGTCAAATTTTAATTATTTGAAACCTTAGGGGTGTTGAGGTTAAATGACCTTCACTTTTGAGGCTTTGTGTTGTTTTTATCACTTATTGACCCAAATTATCAGAAAGAAAAAAATCTCGATGATAATTTTGGCGAAAAAAACAATAGACAAATCCAAAATTTTATTTTTATTATATTTCTTAAAATTAATGTAATCTATTGAGCCTACGGAAACAGATTTTAATGCGAATCCTAAATACACATATTATGTTCTGCAAATAAATTTCTCATTAACAATAAGCCTTTAAAATAATTTGTTACCATGCAAGCAGCTATCATTATACTATGTTACCTGTGCTATAGATTGAAATATATACCTATGTAATGACTAGAAAAATTAAATTAAAATATTAAATAGTATTTGTACAATATAAAAGTAATACATACATACAGATGATACATAAAATAGTATACATTACACATATTTGATTTTATATATTTTTTATATTTTTAATCATAATTTCAACATTAGCAATATACTACTAGATATTACTTATAACATCGACATAAAATATACAACTTATATTTTATTTGAATAATATATAATTTAACAAGCGTACAAGCATTCTAATCTTGACTAGAATACATTTACAGTTACCCAACAATCTAATACTATCGGAATCCAACATTTTAACTCCTACTTTTTATAGCCGATGCCAACCAACAAGCCAAGACAATTCCAATAAGCTGAAAACAATTAATACACATGATAATATAAATTCGTTAGAGTAATGTTGCAAATTAGACACAAATGTGGATTTAAACTTTTTGAATTATAATTCCAACAACGAAAGTGCCATTGAAAACACAAAGTGGAAATATGTAAGCATAAATAACATATTTCCGCTATTTAATATACAGGGTGTTTCAAAACAAATGCGAAAAACATGAAGAATATGAACTCTTTGTTAAAAATAATGGGTAGTTTATTTCCACCCCTTCCCCTAATTTTAAAAATATGAAAAAATAATCACATATTCCGTTTTCATTAGTAAAACTCCCATAAAATATCGTTACTCAATCGGTTTTAATTTTTGAGATAATAAATAAGACCATTAATTTATGTCCCATCTTTGTAAGTATCTCATTAGGCTGTATTTATAAAAAGAAGCCGTACCTTTTGCTTTCAAAAAATGAAGCAATTCCTTCAAGGTATATGCATAAAGAAAAGTGAAGGAAAAGGTAAGTCTTCGATGGATTTGCTTTAAAGTAAAAGGTCTTTTGTTTTTCGTATTTATAAAAAGAAGCATTTGCTTAAAAAATAAAGGTTTTACTTCTAAAAAAGGAATCTAGGTTGACAACAACTTTTCTCACTCTTTTCAGTAGTTGGCCAACCATCAAACAGCTCGGAACGTAAAAAATTGTCTATTTTTAGGAGTGTTTTTGTGTGTTAACATCTACCTAGTAATCTTTGGTTGTGTTGTTTCAGTGTTGTGTTTGTTATGGCTAATATGGTGCATTTATGTACTACAAGGAAATACTACAACGATACGCCACGTGAATCAGATTTCAAAACGTTATTTAGATTTAAGGAGGAGAATGTGGTGTGGTTAGCGGACCACTTTCTTGGCGCGGATCTTGAAACACGTGGGGCAGCCCTATCACCTATGCAGAAAATGAAAGTCTTTCTGCGTTATTGTGCGAATCTTGGATTCCAGAGCGGAATTGCTGAAGAATTGGGATGTACGCAGCCCACAGTGTCCCCACAGAATATTTCATGAGGTGCTTGAGCAGCTTCCCATATAACACACAATATCCGCAGGATATTCATAGAATGTCGGAATGTCCCATTATAAGATCATCTTATAAAGTCATCTATAGGATATCCCCCAGACATCCTGAAATCCTGTAGATGTCTCAGAATAGAATATCCTATGGATATCTCTGTCGCATATCTAATGTACATCCAGCTGAGATATCCAAACATGCTCATGATAATAAAATATCCTAACAATATCGTCTAGATATTTAGGAAAAATAAATAATGTACTACTTTTTATATTACATAAAATGCAATAAACCATACAGATAGATATATATTACGTCAAGGCAACAAAATATCCTGTTGGTATCTTCTGGATAATCTGGATATTTATGAGCTTGGCCACTCCCAGTAATACAGAGAATTTAAAACGCCCGCGCAAAAAATTTCCCACAATCCATCTCGACAGTTGTTTGTTTTTGCATCGTGTATTATTCACATAGATTATTCAGTTCTTTGATTTAGTGAAATTCGATGTGAAATCGGTCGTTTGTCGGTATTGAATGGGCTTAAAAATGACTGAAACTAACAAAACTGATTGAGTTTGATTCTTATACTCATAGTTCTAGCCTTGTTCTAGCAGAAATTCTATCCTAACCTCAACTAATGTCGAAAAACCGAAAAACGACGACGTGACGACTATGGTGACGACGACCAACTCAGGGTCTCACAATGAAAAATTTGTGACAAAATTATAAAATGTGAAAATTTGTTGAAAAGCGCTTGTTCTTTATCCCTAAACCCATTTTCGTGTTTGATCTATTCAAACAGAAATCCTATTTTTTATCCTCTATTAATCCTATCCTGTTTAAATTGTGAGTTTCTGGAATGTGTGGTGTTGAAAAATACCTGTATCCTGTGTGAAATTATACCTGTATCCTGTGTGCTAACTTTGATGTAAACTGTTGCTGCTAGACATAAACTGCTAGACTCCATAAAGGGTAGTATAATCTGGTATAATACCATACGATCGAAAAAAACGGCGTCAGAAGTGGCTTGGAAATGAAGATTGCTGTTATTTTGTATGTAAAACTATATGGGGAATGTCATCGATCGTAATTTTCAAGCTAATTGAACGCCGTTTTTTTTCGATGGTACAGTATAAATTGAAAGCTCTTAACTCATACAAATAAACTTCTAAATTTTGACGCAAAATTCATTGACATAATATGTAGGTATATTTTAGAGCTGTTAATAAAAATATCCAATGAATAACGTCAAAATGTGGCCAAATAAAACTAAATCGCGAACGTTTTTACTATAAACTAAGGATGAAGTAAGTATTGTCAAATAACAGTCCTCACATAATGTCCTAAAAATATTCTATAATGCTCCCAACATCATCCTTGTATTATCCTATAAATATCCCAAATAATCGTAAAAGGCTTGCCTAGGGATGTCTTGAAGATGACATCCTTGACTTTTTTTGTCCCATCTGGATATCCCATAAATATCCTCTTCTAGTTTTTGGATATCCCTAAGATATTTACTATATCCTTGGTGGATATCCTCAAGATATCTATAGGATTGTGTTGTGTTATATGGGTTGTACAACAGGCTGGCCAATGGATTCTGTTCCCAAACACAGAAAATCAAATCATGCAGGCCAAAGAAAAGTGATGACCAGGTTCCGTTTCCCAACAGCCATTGGGGTTATTGACTGCATGCACAATCGTATTGAAAAGCCAGCCCAATTTGGAGACGAATATATAAATCGAAAAGGTTTTAGCAGTTTTAATGTGCAGGTCACATGCGACCAGAATTGTGTTGTAACTAGTATAGATGCAAATTGACCTGGATCAGTTTATGATTCTCGTTATATGGAAGAATTCGGCAGTATGTGAAGTCATGAACAGGACAAGACACACATATACTACTAGGGGACAGTGGATATGGTATAATGTCATGTCTCATGACTCCCTATCCCAACTCCCTCGAGGAATATCAGATAGTCTTCAACAGGCTGCTTAAATCAGAGCGAGTTGCGATTGAGCATATATTTAGGCAACTGAAACGGCGATTTCCTATTCTAAAGTATGGATGCAGAGTGAAATTTACCAGTATTCCTAAAGTTATAATTGTATCTCTGTACCTTTTACTTTATTTATCCAAAGCATTTCCTTGCAAGGAAAAGGTAAAGATTATAAATACGAATTGTAGCAAAGCCTTTTACTTCTACCTTTTGCTTGAAAGTAAATGCTTCATTTTTATAAATACGGCCTAATATCTCCCTAATCGTTGAGTTTTGATTCATCACTTATATAGCAAATAGCAAATGACTATTTATTTTTAGAACTCATCACCCCCTAAAGTTTTTTGCATTTGTTTTGAGATAGCCTGTCTATTTCTAACAATTTTGAAATCGAAAAAAAATATTTTAGTGAGTTGGCAGACTCGATTAGTGATGTTGATTTTTGTTACTTTTGATTACTCGTTACTAATCGTTACTCGAGTACTAAGTATTCGTTTCAAATATTCGTTACTTTGATTACTATGATTACTTTTAACTGATTTTGGTACTGCTGTCAATTTTGTCAACTGCTGTCAACCTCTATGTCTAATTTTACCTGCTTAAAGGATAAATTTGAGAAATGGATTCGTAGTACCCAGGTTTTTCATTTAATGGACCTCTGTGTGTTAATGTTAATACTTTTTAATCTAGAACCAATTTTTAATCTAGAACCGTTACAATTTTTCGTACAAATATTTAAAAGTTCACTTGTACAAAATTTCACCCCTAATTTCACCCTCTTAGGGGATGACATTAAAAATCGTTTCTGAGCACTTACTTTCATCACTTAAGGGCGCCAATATTCTATGCAAATTTTTCTACATACACATAAAAAAGATTTTTTTCTGAACATTCACCTCTCATCTCACACTCTTAAAAGGCGAATTTCTAAAAATAGCTCCTTAGTACTCAATCGATCCTTAGTGATAAATTACGTTACCTTAGAGACTTCTACGCAAAATTTCATACTTCTAAAACCCATTAGGCGGTGAGTTTCCAAAAAATCGCTGCTAAGTACTCACTTTCGCCACTTAAGAAACCTCTATACAAAATATCAAACCCTTAGGACTAATTTAAAAAAAATATATACAAAATTTCACCACCAGTTTTATCCCCGTATGGTGTGAATTTCCAGAAATCGCTCCTCAGTGCTCAATTATGTCACCCAAGAAACCTCTGTGCAAAATGCCATTCTTTTAGCAGCGATTTTAACAAATTTTTGTACAAACTTTCGCCCCTAACTTTACCCTCGCAGGGGATAAATTTCCATAAATTGAGTATCAACTTTCGTCACTTAAAAATCTCTGCGCAAAATTTTATACTCCTACGACAAAATTTAAAAAAATCTACAAACTTCCACCCCTAGTTTCGGTGGTTTTACCCCCTTAAAGGTTGAATTTCCGAAAATCGCTTCTTAGTGTTTAATTACGCCGCTTAAGAGACCTCTGTGCAAAATTTCGTTCCGTAAAAAAACCAAACCAAACCAAACTTTTCCAAAAATCCCTTCTTAGTGCTCACTTACTGAACTGATCACTTAAGAAACACATTTGAAATGAAACTATTGACAACGTAAAACAAAACTAATAAATTATTGAGTCTACCCTACGTTATATTTTACACGTTTTAAATAAAATTAGAACAAAGGTCTAAATCAAAATAACACTTGATGTTTCAAGTGGAATTTCCCTACCCTTTATTGGATGCAGAGAAATATTGAAAATACCAGATTTCAATTAGACGAATTCATTACCTAGAAATTACTGACGTGAATTTGCCACAAAACTTATACAGAGCTAAACATTATCTTAAAAATTGGAAATTGGAAGTACTACCTCATTTAATAAAACAGAAAATTGTACTGTGACGCAGATCTTTAAAACAGTTTTTACCTCGACACAATACAAGTTGGTTTTTTACTTTACCTCAACAAAAGCGATTCCTATTCCAACTCCGATAAGCACCTTGGACGCTTCTTCGGCTTTGTATTCGATCATATCGAAACATCCATCGGAGTATAGTATCTCGTCTCCGGTTTTTGCGCTATTACAATGAATGGCTTCTGGAGGCTGAGAACCATCTCTAGTTGCATGGCAACAGGATAGGGGTCGTTTTCCAAGCAGCAAAATCCAATCATTATTTTTATCGACTCCGCAACACTTTAGCTGAAAATGATCATATTTTGCTTCAACCATAGTCTTAAAATAATTTATTTTTATTATTTATTAATTAATTTATTTTAAGTCTATGGTTTCAACATTCATCAAAATTAGTGATGAGTGAATGCAATACCAAGACCAAGTTCTTCTTGGCATTGGTCTTGGCCTTGCAGTCTAATAAATAGTTTTGGTCTGATTGTATTTTTTTGGCAGAGGCAATTTCTGCATAATTAAAAAAATAATTTTTAAAATAATACCTGATTAAGAATCTGATAAATATTTTTGTTTATCAATATTAAGTACAACATTTTGACAAGACACTGATAAATGCCTGGTTATATTTTCAAACAAAAATATTGAAAAAAATCTAGTTAATTGTTGAAATTCCCCATGTAATAATAAATCATTCCATGTATTTATACACTCACCGGCACGAAAAACGGGCACCTTAAAATTTTCATATATTTTAATGTTTTGTATATTGCGTTCTAGTGGACAAATTTTGATGATTTGTTTCAGCAATCTGTAGCTAAATTATTTGACTTTTTAATATCTCTTTCTAAATTAAAATTGAAAGTTGCCATTTGTCAATTATACGAGGGAAAACAAAATGTTGATATTTTTATGAAAGTTTGAAACACCCTGTGGAGTATGTTAACAAAGCAAGGAATTTAAAAATAATTTTATCATCTAGAATACACATTCGACTCTAGCGTTTTTGTGTTTTCTAATGTGTAGGCGGTATTGGGTTCAATCCTCAAATGGCAGGGTTACTTTATTTATTTAAATAAAAATATTTATTTATCTAAATTGAGGAAACAGTGTAGCTACCTTTAAGAAAACAATGACTAACCATCTTAAGTCATATTTACCTAGTACCGCTTATCAAATAGTGCCATTCGGATACTCTCGTGTACTTGTGAAATACTGATGCCACACATAACAAGTACCTGCCAGAAATCATCTACACTCTGTACAAAACTTGAAATTACAAGCAAAAATAATTATGCATTGAGAATTATTAATGTTTGATAATTTAAAAAAAAATAGATAATTAAAAATAAAAATGTATTTAGAGTACCTAATAGGAAGTAAAAATTGCTTATCATTCATAGTCAGATTCTTCAAAATTTTCATTTACAATTAAAATAGTATCCTCTGCAAGTGATGACAATTAACCTATTTTGTAAAACCACGAATGGATATAATATAATTGATATGATTTTCCCATCCGTAGCATAACAATTAATTTATTTAGCTATTTCAAAGTAAAAAGTACCACATTTCTTTTATCAGAAATGTTAAATACCAACTAGTCATCAATACTTGTCAACCTGTCCTTGTAATGTAGGAAATGATTAAACCAGTCTAATTCAATTCATATTAGTCATATGTTTAATGTATATTTGAAATAAGAAATGAAGAATGTGTGCGTATTTGTAATAGAGCAGTGGAATTTAAATAACAAGGACTAGTTTATTTACCTGCAATAAAAATTAATTAGTCCATATATATGAATGTACATATACTCTGTTTTTTTTCTCAGGTAAGATTTCGACAGACGATGACAGAAGAAAAGCAGATGACGTCCCATACCAATCTATTTATTTTACTAAAAAAAGTTTCTAATAATTTTTAAGTAATCTATGGATGGGTTTAAATATAAATCCGTCATGCGTCGTGTCTTGTTGTTTTTAACCAGTTTTATTGGTTTATTTAAAAAATGACAGATCGTATTTCAATTTTATTGGTTTGACGGAATGATGAACGACAAACGGACGCCGATGCGTATAAACTCGCCTTTAGATTTTTGTCATTTTTGACGCTTGTCAAAGTCTTGCCAGATTATAGGTTATAATTTTGTGTCAACTTTTGTTTTTGTTAAATACCCTGCGTTTTGGAAGATGATGCATTTTGATTCGTATTATTACGTGTGTTTTGTGTCTTTTGAAGTCAAGTGGAGGAAAATCGAGTGAAAATTAACTGTAGACCCAGAGCACAGTTTATGGTTAATACTCGCTGCCCAGGCAGAAAGTCTTATACACCAATGAAGTTGCCATCGATAAAGTTTGTATACCATTTCGTCGTAGATAAGTGCATCTCGTATATGGTAGAAGGATCAAACTAAACACATACTAAAAACTGGAGTAGCTGTAAAATATCGACATCACACGATAGGTAAATAATGGATTTTAGTACTGCAGAAAAATAATGTCAAAAGGTACTGGTTTAAAAAATTAAGATTAAAGTTAATTAATCAACCTTTAAGGTATAAAATTTGGTAGGTGTTATTATTAATAAAATAGTTTGTTTTATTTACCTATGTTGTTTTATTTATTCCTGTGGAATATTACAAAATGCGGGTAGTTTCATAAAGCTTGAAAGTAAATAATAGTTCTTTTTTATATTTTTTTGGTATGTAGTGTCTTGTTCTTGTTTGTTTTGTATTAACACATACCGTTTTTATTAAATAAAATAAGTCGATTACATTTTTTCAGTTTCATACAGTTTTTTTCACAATATTTTGAAGTAATCACTTGTCATCTTGTCAATCAAATTTTAAATATTTCCTGCTATGCGTTCCAGTTGTACCAACTTATTTCTTTGTAAAATAAAATAAACTACTTTGAAATTAAAATGACAGACACATCTATCACTGTCAAGCATCTTCTCGTTGGACAGACTATATATGTTATGGTTAAGGTGTTTACTTGGGTATATACTACCCAAATGTTTAGTTATTTTTATGAAAACTTATTTGTATGCGAAAAAGTTATTTTCGTCTTTCTTTAAACAATTACTATTAAGAAATGAAATTTTTAGCAAAATTTTGTGTGCAGAATAGTTTTACAAGTTTGCTTTGTCTGTTGACGGATAAACAATTTTTACAGGAAATAATATTAGGCGGGGGTTACATTGAACGGGAATCTCTACGAAAATTTGTTCATGCGAACTCTTACCAGTTTGTAAGATGTTGCCAAAAGAATACAAGTGCATACTTTGACACGTTTATAATTATATTGCTTACCACTAGTCTACAAATATGTAAGAAATTTAAATACTTATGACCAAAATATTTTTAAAGTGTCCATTTGTTAGTTTAATAACATGTATCGTGAAATTAAATTAGTAAAAGATAAACGAATGAAGATCTTTGTGCATGGAGTCGGAAAACTAAACATTACCCTATCAGAAAGTGAAACAAAAGATTATGGAAAGAAGAAGCGGTTGAACTGAAAGTATATAGGAATTAAGTAATCCATTTATTTATCAAAGCATTTATTCAAAAACAATGTTCATGTTTAACACAAAATTATCGGATATTTATATTAGTTGCATTATGTGTTACCATGTACCGTTGCATCCAGGAGCAGCAGAGTAAACTTTATGTTGTATTCATCGATCTAACAAAAGCCTTCGACTCTGTAAACAGAGATGCACTTTGGGCAATTATGCAAAAGTTCGGAGTACCCAACAATTCATTACATTACAGTGTGTAAAAGCCTCTATAACAATAACAAGTCAAGAGTGTCACCATCATGGATCACTGAGCGATCCCTTTTTAACAAATACAGAAGTTATGCAGGGATGTGTCTTAGCGCCTCTCCTATTCGACATATTCATGGCAGCGCTCTCTATTATAGTGAATAGCAAAATATAGAAACGAGGAATGGGTATTAGATACAGATACAACGTCGGTCTGTTCAACATAAAAAGGTTCAGGGCAAAAACACGTATAAAATTCACCACAGAACTTCAATACGCTGATGACTTGCAAAAACGTTACAGCAATTAATCTGGGCATACGAGGCTTTGTGCGTTAAGCTGAACATCGATAAAACTAAAATCATGTATACTCCGGAAAATCATAACAATGCTATTAAAATCGGAGCAGAACTATTGGAATATGTAGCGGATTTCAATTACCTCTGCAGTTTGATTTCGGAAAAGGCCAATATCGACTCTGAAACTCATAGAATTAGCAACGCCTCAAGAGCATTCTGGAAATTACAAGGCAGGGTTTTCTACAATCATGAATTGGGCACAAAAACGAAACTTGCAGTATACCGAGCAGTAATAATCCCCACCATGTTATATGGAATATAAACATGGATACGCCGTCACATGAACGCATTAAACAAGTTGCAACAGAGACACCTTAGACAACTGTTAAGAATCAAATGGTATCATCATGTCTCAAACGTATCGGTTTTTGAAAAAGCTAGCTGCGAAAGCGCTGAAGTCATAATTACTAAATCCCGCTTAAGATGGGCTGGTCCCATATGCGGGATGCAAGAAAACCGCTTGTCAAAATATCTTCTTTACGGCGAGCTTGTAAATGGTCAGAGGAAACCGGGTGGACAACTCAAAAGGTGAACAACTCCAACGTGCTCCAACTCAAAAGGTGAACCCCTAGATCATATATACTTACGTGGATAAATCAACGCCATAAGTTTAGCATTAAAAAATATGCCCCCAACATCACGACATGCCATTTTCAATACACCTTCTTCATTGCACTTATGAAATATTCAATAGGTTTGTCTTTCTCGAGGACCTGACTTTACGCATGCGCATTAAAAGTGGCACGTATTTCCAAAATAATTACAAGTTTATCCGATTTAGAAAGTACAAATTATACATTGTTAAGGAAACCAACGTTTCATTGTCATCATATTGTCATAATCATATGTCATAATGTTATTTCCATTGTGTAACGACGCTTGTTTGTTGCGTTTATTATTTTAAACATTGTATTATTACTCTTTTATCAACCGCTTTTATATAGCCAAGGATGCAAGTGTGTTCAGTGTGAAGTTAATTTTAAGTTTGTGCAATTATATTTCTATTTTTTATTCGTTGGGTTTTAATTTTTGGGTAAATATTCGTAAAAATGACAAGAAAGGTTTGGTGTGCGGAAATTATAATATAAATGTCCCCGAATTATCTTTTCACAGGCAAGTAAAGTATTCAGTTGTTCTTTTATGTATATTAAACCACATGCATATTTTCTGGTTAGATTTCCTAAGAATATTGATATTCGTACGGAGTGGCTAATTTATTTTTTATATAATTTAATTTTTGTGACAGTAACATTCAATTATTGTACAAATATATGCATTTTACAAATTAAATTTTTTAAATTAATGTTGAAATTTGGCGCGTGGGCGATAGGTCCTCGACAAGGATAGATAAAGTAGAAGCACCGCGTGTGCAACAAAAAAAGAAGATAAATGGAAGTCGTTGATATGTTTGGGACAGTTTCCTTAGTGATTTACTTATCCACGTAAGTACATATGATCTAGGGGTGAACTAAACCAAACACAACCAAACCAAACCAAACACAACTCCATAAAAACTTAAAGGGGATAAGCATGCAAAATCAGTGGGAAGAATCGCCGCGCAATAGAAGGTAATGGAGAAGAATTGTAAATTCAGTTAACAGCGACAACCAAAAAGTAAAGGGTGGGCAACAAAGTAATTTAAGATTTTTGAATGTTCGGTGTGCGGTAAATAATTCGCCGCAGTCCCGCTTTTCGTCGAGTGGCAGAACTCTTTTTTCTGAATGCTACCATATCCCGCCATGATATTTCGATCCCGCGTCGTTCGCGTTGACGCGCCGCGCCGCTCCCGCCGATTCGCGTTGGTCTGGGGCATCCTTAAAGATCAATAAACAATAATAATATGACTTTTCAATGAGAGTGACATTACAAAAACAATAAACACTATTTTACATCCAATGTAACAGTTTCTTTTGAGTTTGTATTATTATAAAATTCAAAGCATACTAAAGTGCGACACATGTAAGTTGAACAGCGCGGCATCGGTACGGGGGGTATGGCTTCAGTTGAATTTATCCGTAAATTGCCCAGTGGCTTGCATTGGCCCGCATTCCTTTCGCTGTTCAATTTAAATGTGTCGAATATTAGACCTTTTGATGGTATGGTACTTCAATTTAGAATCTCAGTCTCGACAAAGAAAGGATCATTTGTTCTATCGACTTAAACAAATTATCAAAATTTCTCAAATTAAATAAATAACTGAAATACGAAATTTTGCAAAACTTGCAAAATAAATAAAATTTGTAATAAAACAAAAATTCTTCATATTGTTTTCACGTGTATGTATATATTTCCATTTCGGGGAGACGTTCTGTCTCACACACATCATTAAATAATATAAAGAGAAACACAACAACAAAATTTGAGCAAGACTTAAATTGCCTATTATAAATATTAAAAAAAGTGTTTTCCTTTTTTCCGGTATCACACTAGACGCCTTGTTAAATTGTGCTCGTCCGGTTGTGGCATTTATTCGTTTCGGTGTGCCAAGACAATGAAAGAGACGCTTTTTAGACAATGGCGACGTACGTAGATTGCGTTTAATTGAAGTACTTTACTGAGAACCAAAAAAAAATCGGACACTGGCCGGTAGCGTAGCGCAAGCTGGCGCTAAATCGAATTGACCTCAGTTGACTCGTGAGTCGAGGTGTACCATTATTAATTTCACGCTCCTTCTTCGGCTCTCCGTATGTGTGTAGGCTTAATTAATGAATAACGCGGTCCAAAGAGATGTATAGTGATCGTTATTTTTAATTGTTATTGAAGATGCGATGGGACAAATTGTAATCGCCATTTTGCGGTCCAACTCTTTATGAGACGAGGGCATTCCAACTTTGATAATTGAAAATAGAAATAAAGCTTAAGATTTACGAAATAATATGTTAGCTATTTCATTAGTTAAATTAAACTATATATTTCCAAATGGTCTGTCGAGTATCGCAGTTGTTTAAATAAACTATATTTTAGCACTGTGCTATACAGGGTGGGCCACTGAAAACTTACAATGGCTATAATTTTTAAACCAAAAAAGATATCAAAAAGATAAAAAATACCGTTTCTATAATATCGAGGGGGAATAAATATGACGTATTTTTGAACAACCCCGACCTACCCCTTAGGAGGCACCCCTACTCACTTGAAAATCTTAAATGGCAACACCCCACTTGTGGCGTCTTTTTGGAAAGCTCATTAGTGAGCTCATGAAAAATGCTAAATGATGATCATAAAGTTTTTATGGTGAAGTTGAAAAACTACCCTTACACGAACAATTAGGTGGACATTAATGAAAAAGGTGATTTTTTCAGCATAAGTTACAAATTGGGGCCCAGCTAAATGACGCAAATGAAGTATTTTTCAAACCACCCCAACCCACCTCTAGGTTCTAACTCACCCCAACCCACCCTCACTTCTAATCTCAAGATAGCGATACCCCACTTGTGACACTTCTTTGCAAAGCTAACTGAAATTGCTAAACGATGGTCATACAGACTTCAACTTAATTACTGGTTAGTGACAAGAAATGTAGGTGTGACAATTTGAAAGAAATTTAAAATGATAATTTATTTTAATAATTGCTCAAAATGACAGCCGTTTTGTTCCATACAAAAATACAAACGATTTTCAAATTCTTCTCTCACTTTTTGGAAAGTCTCTCTCGGAATATTTCGACATGCTTCAGTTCTCCTCCGCCGCAATTCTTGCAACGAACCTGGTTTTGTCTTGTAGACTATGGATTTAGTGTAATTCCACAAGAAAAAGTCTAAAGGAGTGAGATCAGGTGACCTTGGCGGCCTCTCGAATAGACCCCTTCTAACAATCCATTGCCTGGGATAATATTTATCCAACCACCGCCTTGTGACAATAGAATAATGCGAAGGGGCTCCATCTTGCTGAAAGTGTATGAGATCTTCATTAAGAGTTATAATAAATTTCTTTGTACCAGCTTTTTTTTCTCGCAATGGTTCATGTATACAAAAATAATTCATTCTATTGATTTTGACACGTTTTGACATTTTTTTTTTTATTTTTAGGCTCTATTTTTTTCGTTCTTTATTATGACAGTCGTTCAGCATTTTTTATACGCTTTCCAATGAGGTGTCACAAGTGGGGTATCGCTATCTTGAGGTTAGAAGTGAGGGGGGTGGCACCTAGGGGTGGGTCGGGGTAGTTTAAAAAAAACCTCATTTAGCTGGGTCCCAATTTGTAACTTATGCTGAAAAAATCACTTTTCTCATTAATGTCCACCTAATTTTTCGTGTAAGGGGTAGTTTTTCAATTTCACCCTAAAAACTTTATGATCATCGTTTAGCATTTTTCAGGGGCTTTCCAAAAAGTCGCCACAAGTGGGGTGTTGCCATTTAAGATTTCCAAGTGAGTAGTGGTGCTGCCTTAGGGGTAGGTCGGGGTGGTTCAAAATACGTCATATGTATTCCCCCTCGATATTATAGAAACGTTTTTTTTTATTTTTTGATATCTTTTTGGTTTAAAATTATAGCCATTGTAAGTTTTTAGTGGCCCACCCTGTATACCTAGCCTTACATAGCAAACATTTCTTTTTGTAATGACACACAAACTTCTGTTTTTTTTTTCGCCACTAGAAGAAAATCTACTAGTAGCAAATCTAGTGGTATTTTTTCACACCATACACTGTATCTTGTAAAATATTTTTAAATTGTAGCTCTAATAGTCTTTCAACGAACCCAAAATTTACAATTTGTAAAAATCTAATGGTTTAGCTACAATACTCCGTGTCGTATGTGGTGAATAACCCTGTATAATGTACATATAATAATAATAATATATAATTAATAAATAATAATTTTACTGCAAGAACATATTTTACTGAAAGGTCTTAAAATGAGGTGACAAATGAAATAAAATAAATTAAATATACTGTGTCTTCTTCTAATTATTTCCTTGGAGTAATTTTTAACCCTGAGTTTTGGAGCCATAAACAATTTGTAATTGACACTTCATTCTATGTATCAATGCATGATGCATGATGCATGAGACGCATCCAATAAAATCGTCATTTTCTACGACTTTGGATACTAGTAGCTTTGCTAGTAGTAAACCCAAATAACGTCTCCCTCGTTGAACAGCATTGACGGAGATGGACAAAACGTACGCTTGCAATACTCTTTGTGGACAAAGTTTAGTACACTAGGCTGTACAAGCTGTACGTCATATTTTGAAGCGTCTATAAAGCTACCGTTTCCCCTTTTAACGCTTTTTTACAAGTACACTTAGATGTTATGGCCAAATCTGAACGACACTATTTGAGAAGCTGTACTAGGAAACGCTATGTCTTGGGTAAGTGTCAGATCATATCAATCCTTAATAATTTAGGCCTGGGACAAAAACGAATAGGAATAATTTTGTAATAATTTTATGTCAATATACTATTTTGTATCCAAAAAAGTTTATAGAACAATAGAAGCTGAAATAAAAGTAAATAATACTATCTACAACACATATATTTGAGAGTATTTAGTGAAGATATTTCAAATAGATTATTATTTTTTCTCACCTTTGTCTGCAGATTGTCCCAAGCCATTCGGTCGGCTTCGTTGGTTTCGTACTTATTCATTGACTCCCGCATCAGCTGTTTAATGCCTTTATGGAAATCATTCTTGTACACTGCTGCTGCTATTCCTACTGCCAGTTCAATAATAAAAATGACAAGCAGGCACAAGGCAAACTGAAATAGTGTTAAAACATTATTGGTACTTATTGTTTTGAATATATTAATAATATAATACAACGTAATAATAGTGTCAGTCATATACTAGAAAGAGACATTATTAGTAAAAATAGAAATAACAACAAAAGGGGTAATGAAATATAAATAAGTAGTCAGTAGAAAATTTACTCTTTTAAAAACTTACTGAGTTAAAATAAAAAGTCATATGATTTTATTTTTAAAACTCAAATCTTATTTAACAATTTAACGAATATTTCTTAAGCAACAAAACCAGTAAGACCTTGATTTGTATTAATTATCATAATATAACGTATTATTGTCAGGATTTAGTTTTGCCATTATGGCCAACAAGGCGGTTAACGAAGTCGAACCTGTTTATATTAAATAAAAAGAAGATGGGATGAAAAAAATCAAGAAATACAAGCTATAAATATTAAAATGCATCTTTAATGTAAAATAGATCGGTTGTTTAATGAATATTGTAATGATTTGTCGCTATTCCAGTTGACTGGAAGGAGGAATGTTACAGGATATACATTTTCTTTGTGTACATATTTTAGTAAAAATTGAGAGTAACTTGCTATAATAAACTTATAAATGTTTGTAATAAATAAAATACGGTGTAGAAAACCAGAAAATATTTGGTGAGAAAAATCTCGCAAGCTACTTGCAAGTCACTGTAGCCGAAAAGCACTGTGGTACTTATGTGTATATTTGTTTGAAAACACGATAGTTTGAATTAATTTCTCAGTTTTTTACAAAATTTTGACGATCAGAAATCAAAATGGTAGATTTATACCGGGTGGTGTATCGGTGCGGTGTTGGAAACAGAAAATCTAATACTAATTTTGAACTGTCCCGATATTTAATTCCCTGTTGATTTTACAACAAAGTTGTAAATAGGTTTTTAAAGGTCTGGATATGCTGAAAACACATGCCAAAACACGCGTTGTACACAATTAAAAAGTAAACAATATTTATGACTTCGCTGTAATATTAAAAGAGGAGCCAATATTTGGACAGTTCAAAATTTGCATGGTATATCCTATATCTCCAATAACGATGGACCACCCGGTATTTTACCGCGTGCGGTTAGACGCTTGACTTATACATAATTATTATTTTTCATTTGGTTCTTCCATAACAAGCTAAACGCTAAGTAAAATTCAAAATTTGAAGTTTGTTAAGCTTCTAATTATTATTTATATTAGCAATACAGTCAATTATAATTATATCCTCTTGACAGTTAAATATTAATACTCTTGCTTGATCCACAACAAAGTTACAGGGGGACATTAACAAAAGTACCGTGACTAGTTTTGAGCTGGTGAAAGTCCCATCAGGATAATATCTATACCAATATCAATATATAAAATCCTTAAGTAACTGACTCACTGATTAATCACGATCCTGCTCAAACCACTCAACGTAAGAAGCTCAGTTTTGGCATACAGGTTGATTCTAGGGTGTAGAGGTTCGACAAGAGGGGATTTTTCGAAATTCCAGTTCCAAGAGGGTGAAACCACCCCTCAAATATTACAATATTTTTATTTAAAAAACGGTCAAGTTTCCGAAAAAACACTTAAACACGTATATTTTATTTTGTTTTTTTACATATTTTAAGATTTTTTAAAAATGTATACAGGGTGTTTCGAAAAATTTGGTCATTGATTAATCACGATCCTGCTTGAAGCGCTTGACGTAAAAAGCTGATTTTTGGAAAACTGATTGACTTTAGGGTGTAGAGGTTCGATAAGAAGGGGTTTTTCGAAACTTGAATTCTAAGAGGGTAAAACCACCCCTCAAATATTAGAATATTTTTTATTCAAACCGGTGAGTTTTTCGGAAAAACTCTTAAACGCGTTTATTTTGTTGTATACATATTTTAAGATTTTTTAAAAAATTATACAGGGTGTTTCACAAAATATGACCATTGAGTAATCACGATTCTGCTTAAACTGGTTGAAGTTTAAAGTTAATTTTTGGCAAACGGATTGACTGTGATGGGGTGTAGAGGTTCGATAAGGAGGGGTTTCTCGAATCTCAAATCCCAAGGGGGTGAAAACGCCCCTCAAATATTACAATATTTATTATTTAAAAAACGGTTAGTCTTTCGGGAAAACGCTTGGACACTTTTAATTTATTTTGTTTTTTTACATATTTTGAATTTTTTTAAAAAATCATACAGGGTGTTTCAAAAAATTGGGTAGGTAATTGATTAAACACGATTCTGCTTAAACTGCTTGACGTAAAAAGCTTATTTTCGGCAAACGGATTTTTGGAAAGTCAAATTCCAACGAGATGAAACTACCCCTCAAATATTACCAAATTATATAATAATATCGCCATATTGTTTTTTCTCATGCTGACATAAATGTGAGAAAATTTTATGCAGTTTGTATGTTCATAGAAATTCTTGCTTTGCTTTATCGTCACCATTACAAATGATTAATTCGAATTATTATGATATAAAACATATTAAATCTTCGACATTTTGGTGCACTAAAAATAACGCAATGCACATTTAATTTTATAATTAACACGTGTATCACATATCGACGATTTCAAAATAAAAATTAGAAACATACTTGTTTTACTTATTCATTTAAGCGTGCTGACTAAAGCGCTTGCATGACTCGTGACTGATTTTCTCATAGATGTCGCGATAGTTCGTTAATGTTTTAGTAATTTATTTTAACAACATACTAAAATTCATTTGAAAAGAACCTTTTGAATAGTAAATTTACGTTTGACGATCTAGCGTGGCCTAGTTCAGTACATATATTTTTACTTTATTTTACAATTAGTATTCGTACAATTAGTTACGTACATATTCAGATACATGAATATCAGTAAAATACAAAATATCGTAAAAAATCTGGCGTAAAGGCTTAACTGAAAAATCGAAAAAATGAGTTACGCCACTTGAGACTTTCCTATAGGCACAAGTTTTATGCCTCAACTCACTCAACTGTATCTATAAAGTTATCGAGGCCACAGAAGAAGAAATTCGAGGCAGTATAGTATTTGAACGATCCAGTGGAATAACTTGATAAGCGCCATTTTACTGGAAATTACCGGACGGCTGGTGGTTATCAAGTTCTTCCCGTATATTCTATATTTTTACTAGGCACTAGGCAGTTAACGTTAAGATTTTATAAAATATTATAGTAGGTCTAACTGGTTTCTACAAAATGTATATAACTCTGCAGGGCAATAAGGTGTTTAATTCTATGATAGGTGCGCCTCAAAAATGACTCATACTTATAACTTTTTTATTTTTTCAGATAAAAAAACGAGACTTGGTATGGTAGCACAGATTAGGTATCCTATAAGTATACAGATAAAAATCTTGTCCCTAATTTGTGGTACGAAAATTGTTTTTTATGACGATGTGCAAACGAGTCAAATTTCCTGTGCGCAAAAATAAACTCGCGTAAAATAACAATAAACAGCGTAATAGAGAGATATCGCTAAACCGAATAGCGTGCATGGACGTTAATAAGGCCAGGTGTTATTTCCTTTACGTAAGGTGGTATTAACTCTCTTCATTTATAGTTATCGGATCGGAAAGAATTCTGTTCGCGTCGCGTCCGCTATTTAAACTTAACCTAACTTTGAATTTAAAACTTTGAAATTGTTTTGTTTACTGGGTATTTTAAAACTAAAGGGCTAAAGTGCTTATTTCCAGTGCTTTATTGTTCAACGTCTGCAAATGGGTTTAGGGCAACAAGCAACAAATTCTCTTAGAAGGGCTAAGTCGTCATCTGCTGTAAACCTAAGACTCTTTATAGGTTCTTTAGTATTGGAAGAGGTGGAATCCATATTTTGGGCCATATTTATTTAATTAAAACTAATCCCAGCTACTTAAATATCAAATTACCTAATAAAACTAAAGCAATAATTCAAAACAATTCAAACAAAACCTAAAATAAAGATCTCGCCGGTCCGTTGCCGAGGACATAAAATCGAGTCGAATGGTTTCAAGACATAGGTTCATCCTTGTTTAGTCAAACCTCCTACAAACCAAGGATAGACTTATGTACGAAATGCATTGAAATTCTATAGCCATCCTTCAATATCGGGACAGGAATTTAAGCGGTACCCTCCGTATACTTTATTTTAAACGTATTTACCATTTAAGCATTTTTTAAACGTTATCAGAGGTTATTTAGAAAGAGCGCTTAGTGTAATTGATCTGCAAATTACGTCAGGCGGTAACGTTATTAGCGGGTGTTGAAAAAAAATTGACTCGCGCATATCGTAACCATGATAAGGTACGCGTAAATACTGGATGACGCTTTCGGTTTTCCGATATCTCTCTAATAACTGTGCCGGTCAGGCGCTGTGCACAATTTTAGAGGCCATAAGTGGGCGTGCTATGTGCGCAAACTAGTCACCTAACTAGTGCCTGATTCCGAAAATTGGAACCATGAAAAACAATAAAGAAAAACCAAAGATTATAATCTGTATAATCTGTGATGGTAGTATATGACCTAAATTAGGATTGATTGACTGTATTCAATTGATTTTGGTCACTTCCTGTTTCATCGGAAATGATTACAACTTTTGATTTTTAAATGGCACCCTCGGTATTTTTTCACTTTATTCGATAGAAAATGACATTCTGAATAGACATTCTCGCTTAATAAAAAATCGTATTTGAAATTTCAATCTAGAATGTCATGTCTATGTTAAAATCACTAATTTTTAAATCAAGGAGTCTTGGAAAAATAGATTTGATCACCTAATATTTTTAGTGTCTTGTCCTGGCCGGTTAAAAGATGCCCAAATCGTATTTTTAATTATATCTCATTTTTTTTTCAAATTGAGATAAACGAGGATGGCTTGGCATATTTGGAAAAAGCATTTTCTTACGAATAATTTGATACCACACACCTGGCATTTCGAGTCAAGTGTTAGTTTTTTTCGTATTTTTGAGTCAAGTTTAGTTAGTTAACAAAACGAAGACAATAAGCTACTACACGTTTAAGTGT